GCTCCTCTGATGCTGCTTGGCCTGCTGTGTTCATCCAGGTCTACACCTTGTTATCTCAGATTCTCCAGCATCGGCAGTTCCTGCTATCACAAAAATTTGTTAATTGAATTAGGACTACTCAAACACGATATTGTGCTATCTGTTATAGGGAAGATTATCAAGTCTGTCCCTGGAAAACTGATCAAAGAGGTGAGTTCCAACATCTTTTTTTTTTCACAGTAATTCACCTGCATAATATTGTCAGTCAAGGTGGGCAGGGCACGCTTTGCCGGGTTTTTACCTAGAAAGGGCTGCTGGGGAATGTACAAGAATAACTATCACCAGTGTGGTCAATTTCATTTCACAAGCACCAATTCAGTTGTGGAACTGTCTCACTTAGCATTATCAGTGCATTTGGAAATGAAAACTGGCACAACCTTGTGTTTGATGCACTCCTTGAAGGAATTCAATAGAAAGTGTAGTTGTTCAACTTGCTGGCAAGTTAACAATGTTGTTAGCCCAAATTTGGTCTACGTTTATGTTGTACCTCAGAGACCCAAATACTCATTTGATAGTGCAGAATCTGCTGAAAAAAGACATATATTTTGTTGAAGCTTTTTGTCGTCTTGTCATCAGGTCATTTTATGAGCATACAAATTTAAAGGGAAAACCATGAGAGTCTGAATTGATTAGAAAATAAAAACTGATATGTAGAGACATTGCATTGGAGAATGCATCTGTTAATGTTGTTTGACTGATAACAGCCAGGCTTTAAAATTTTAAACCAGGTTGGTTGGCTTTGATTCTGAGCATTGTCCTGAGAAATGAACCAGTGAATGGCTGTTTCCTGTTCAGTTGTAACAGGTGTTTACCAACTAATCAGTACACTGTTTGCATACAGTATAAATGTTAGTTTTTCCCTTGAATTTGTATTCTTCCAAAATGTACCAATGAGTGCAAGATGATCAGCAGATCTGCATTTTTTTAATCAATACTCTACTTCTTTATGACCACAGGACTATTTATACACCTGATACATATGTACAAGAAAGTTAAAACTTGGATAGCAGCAACGTAGTTTATTTGCTCTTAACTGCAAGTTAAACTTTCAATTGAATTTCTTCAATAGTGTGTTAAGCTCAAGGTTTTGCCTGTTTCCATTTCCCAACTTACTGCCAAAATGAGACAGTCCTAAGACTGAAAGTGAATTTAAGCAAAATGAAATTAGCAATTGCTTCTTACTCTGGGATAATATTTCCTCAATCATCTTTAGCTTGGTCTTGCCATGATCTGATCTGAATATATCCTTTGCACATTATTAGTCCATGCTATTATCATGCATCACCTTTGGAAAGCGTGTCCTAATATTGAGACCAATCTCATTAATAAAAATTAGAAGGAAATCTTGCTGTCCATCCACCTGGACCTCCATGAATTGGCTAATCCTTTTGTAATGGTAGAGAAATCCTAATTAGCTTCATGCTTAAACCGCAACCTGCAGCTAGTAGAATGTGAAACAAGTGTGAAAAACATTCAGCAAGGCAAAACGTTTGACAAAGGATCCATTTTGGAATGTTGAAATCTGTTTATCTCAACAGATGCTGCTGAATTGTTGAATTGGCTGATATTTTGTTTTTGTTGGAGCTTCATCTTTAACTAATTATGACTGGTCTCTGTGCATTTAGCTGAATCAGTCCTGCCATCTGATTGTTGCAAGTCTGTTCCCAGCTACAATCAACCCGGTTGGCCTAGGCCTTTGGTGGATTGTTGTTCCTACTTGCTCTTTTAATGAACGTGCTTCTATTGAAATTCTGACTGCTGCTAATGTGATGAAGGAACCTGGTTGGGATCAGTTTACTTTATATGACATGACCAATCCAGCAGTACAAAGGGCCTGTCAGCAATCTTATTTTAACTATTAACTCTGTCACATGGTCAGGCCAGGTTCCTCCGAAATCAGTTTGTTCAACTGATCCAAATTACAGAGATCAAAAATAATAAATAAAATTAGAGTTGGATTTTATTGTCATGTGTACTCAAGTACAAGAGTACAGAAAATGTTGCCCCTCGTGGTGCCGTCTTAGGTACAAAGTACCTGGATACAAATCTTTGCTACAGACAGAAATAAAGAAGAAAAAGGTGCCATTACCTTAGTGATTCATAGTATAAGTTAGAAAATAAGACATACAGTTAAAAAGATAAAGCTACAGTCAGATAAACAGATTACGGATAAACATGGTGTAGAACTGGATGAACACAGCAGGTCAAGCAGTATCAGAAGAGCAAGAAAGTTGACGTTTCGGTTCTGGACCCTTCTTCAGAAATGGGAGAGGGGAATGGGACTCTGAAATAAAGGGTTGGGGGAGGCGTTGATGGAAATAGAATAAGGAGCGGATAGGTAGAGAGAAGACAGACCGGTCAAAGAAGTGGGGATGGAGCCAGTAAAGGTGAGTGTAGATGGGGAGTTGGGATGGGGGTTGGTCAGTTGAGGGAAGACAGAGGTCAAGCAGGCGGCGATGGGGCTGGTAGGGGGGGGGGGGGGGTGGGGGTTGGTCAGAGAGGTGGGAGGAGTGGATAGTGGGAGAAAAGACGGACAGGTCAAGGAGGTGGGGACGAGCTGGGCTGGTTTTGGGATGAGGTCAGGGGTGGGGAGATTTTGAAGCTTGTGAAGTCCACATTGATACCATTGGGCTGCAGGGTTCCCAAGCGGAATATGAGGTGCTGTTCCTGCAGCCTTCGGGTGGCATCGTTGTGGCACTGGAGGAGGCCCAGGATGGACATGTCGTCCAAAGAGTGGGAGGGGGAGTTGAAGTGGTTCGCGACTGGGAGGTGCAGTCGTTTGTAATAAACTGAGCGTAGGTGTTCCACAAAGCAGTCTCCAAGCCTCTGCTTGGTTTTCCCGATGTAGAGGAGGCCACGTCGGGAACAGCGGATACAATATACCACATTAGCAGATGTGCAGGTGAACATCTATTTAATGTGGAAGGTTTTCTTGGGGCCTGGGATGGGAGTGAGGGGGGAGGTGTGGAGCAGGTGTAGCACTTCCTGTGGCTGCAGGGAAAAGTGCCAGGGGTGGTGGGACTAGTGGGGAGTGTGGAGCGGACGAGGGAGTCACAGAGCGAGCGGGTCCTCCGGAAGGCAGATAAGGGTGGGGAGGACAAAATGTCCTTGGTAGTGGGGTCAGATTGCAGGTGGCGGAAGTGGTGGAGGATGATGCGTTGAATCTGGAGGTTGGTGGGGTGGTACGTGGGGACAAGGGGGATTCTGTTTTTGATGTTATTGCGGGGAGGGTTTATGAGGGATGAGTTGCGGGAAACGCGAGAAATGCAGTCGAGGGCGTTTTCGGCCACAGTGGAGGGGAAATTGCGGTCTTTGAAAAATGAGGACATCTGGGATGTCCGGGAGTGAATGGCCCTGTTCCCGAGATGAGGCATTCCACTCCCATCCTATCTGCTCCTTTTATCCACCTTCCATCATTGTCTCCCCCTCTCTCTCTATTTGAGTCCCCTTCCCCTCCCCCGTTTCTGAAGAAGGGTCCAGACCCGAAACGTCAACTTTCCTGCTCCTCTGATGCTGCTTGGCCTGCTGTGTTCATCCAGCTCTACACCTTGTTATCTCAGATTCGCCAGCATCGGCAGTTCCTACTATCTCTACAGATAAACATTACATTGCAGTTGATCAGCGCAGAGGCTTCCACACATGGTCTGACTGGTCATGCAAGCTGCTGACCACCTACGTTAATTCCCAGTCCAACGTGTCCCTGCTGTACTTCATGCCTCATACTCACTCCACGCTGGCCCTCAGCCGCTCTGCTCCACTCCATGCCTCTAGCCCACTCTGCTCCATCATCAAGCCTGCTCTGCACCGCTCCATGCCTCCAACCCATTCCATTCTGGCCTTCAGCTGCTCCAAAGTAAGCTTTTTTTTCTAAAAAAAAAACACGTTAAAATCTTAGAAAAAAAGAGAGGAAGAAAAAGGCAAAAATGAGAAATCAGATGGGTGGATGAGCCCCGAGCTGAGGAACCTGGACACTCCCTACTCTGCCTCCGCTATCTAGATATAAAGATTAATCAATTATAGGTTAATCGTTTGCCTACATAGCGGCCAGCGATACATTACTGTGAAGTATTTCTTGCACATCTGAATAAGTGAACCGCTAGTTCTGTTTTCTGCTGCAAGCGTGTGATTTGTTCGAAAGTGCTGCATATGTTTTGCAATTCACATTACAACCTTGACGGTTATTGTGTGCACCTGGGCAAATTATTTAGCTGTGGGGTTGGAGCAAACAAAGTACAAAGTGTGCAGTTCTCAGCAGGTGGTGCTGGGTAGTTATCAGAAGCAGACACATACATTATTTTTCCCAAGAGAATGGAGGCCAAATTGTTGACTATTTGTTGTGCCCTGACTGAGATCTGATAACTCCAGGTATCTTTCCCTAGAAATTGTTCATTGAAACTATGACCTCTGTGAGGTAGAAAGTGTATTAGTTTGATATTTTTAAAGAAGCTTTTAATCAAATTGAAAAGAAACATGAATACAGTTGCATTCCCTACATCAAATTTTATTTTGCTTTCTTTCTAATTAACTGCGTCATCCTCATTTTATATCTGCCTTTCATTTAAATTGTACGGCAGGTGTAGCATGTATGAAGCTGTTATTTCCCTGTTTTGGTTGCAGAAAGGCCAACATCTAGAGTCGTTCCTCACAGCATTCATCAATTCCTGTGAGGCTCCCAAACCGAAACCAAGTAGACCAGAACTCACCATTCTCAGTCCTACTTCAGAAAACAACAAAAAGGTAAATTTGAGAGCAGTGTATTTGGCAGGTAATTTGTTGGAAGAACTAATCAGTATTACATTTTGCCCACTTTTTCTTAAATCACTTTGGGCAACCCAGTGCTTGGTGGAAATTGTAACACAATTTTTATTCACAAGTAGATTTTTCAGAAGGATCACTAAATCTGAAATGTTAACTGTGATTTCTCTCCACAGATGCTGCTACACCTGCTGAGTTTTTCCAGCAATTTCAGTTCTTGTTTCCGATTTCCAGCATCTACAATTCCTTCAATCTTTTAGAATATTGATCACCTACTCTGGAGTTGGGATTATGTTATGATCGGTGTTTGCGATCAACTCCCAAAATTTCGTCCGTGTATTTGGTAATCCAGAAGAAGTAATGCTAATGTTAAGCTTTGGCAGGTGGCTATTCTATTCCACTGATCTCTGATATGTGACCATGTTGGTCATATGGTGGCTACTTGAAAAGTTCGTAGTGAAATTGATATTTTAAGGAGAAGCGAAATTTAAGTAAGTAAATTTTGTTGATGTGAAGGTTGAAATAAATGCTTTTATATTGCATCTTTACAAAAAAATCCAATAATTTTCAGAATTAACACGCTATCTACAGCAAAGAGTAACATTTCTATATTGCCGCAGCACCTGTTTACCACACCTATTTTCAAGAGTCAGAATTTAGTGCTATTTTTAAGACATGCATGTCTGTAGGTCATTTCAAATTCAGTAATGTTATACAAATTTATTATTTTTTTTAAATGGATATGAAGGTATTGGAGAGATATGGGGATAACACGGGTAAGTAGAATTGAAGAGCATCATTCACGATAATTTTTGACATCAGGACAGTCTTTGCCAATGCTGAACAAAGAAGCTGAAAGATATGCTCATGTTATTCGCAACATGAGGGTTAATTGACTAATAATATGTCCAAAGCCTTGTGTACAGTACACACTTCCTATCAGTGTTCAATTTACTTTGTGTAACACTTAAGGCATCTTACTTGGTCCTCTGACTCACTAACAGCATTATGGAAAACATATTAGTTATTCTTTCTGTTTAAAACACAGGAATAGTCATGGAAAGTAAATGACAACATGTGTAATTCTGGATTACCGTATTTAAATGATGTAGAAGGAATGAGTTTCATCAGTAGTTAATATCTCCTTTCTTTCAGCTTTTTAATGACTTGTATAAAAATAATGCCAATCGTTCTGAAAGTACAGAGAAGAAGTACAACCAGAACTACTTCATGGAAATGATGACGTTAGATGGTGTTTATGATTATCTGATGTACGTGGGTAAGTGAGTCTTCCAACTGTCCGACATTCAAGCTGAAAATTACATCTATGGAAGACTGCATCCTCCAGAATTGTGGTTGCTCGAATGGGATACTATGCTTCATGTTGATGTGGTTGTCTAACCTTAACATGACTTCTGTATTTATTGTGGATGCAGGCATAGCAGATTCAAATAGTCATCTATTAAGGGATCACTATTGTCATTTTGCTGAGATGCTTTTCTTTAATGTAACACAATAGCTTGGATTAAACAAGTAGTAAATAGTCCAGTCCTGTAGTGCTATGCTGTTTATATTTTATAGTTTGAATGCAGCTTTCTATTTCATTCAGTCGTTGAGCCATGATTACACTGTTATTTGAAGCCTGTTTGCTGGCAGTTATAGGAATGTAAGAGCAGGAGTAGGTCATTCTCCTTCCTACCCTGTTCTGAAACCTCCATCTGAACATGGGTGAATCGTACCTCAACACCACTTGCCTACCTTGGTTCCATTTTACTTGCTGCCCTTAAATATCTATGAATCTGTCGTAAAAGTTTTATTATTGTGTCCACACACTTTGTTTGAAAGAGTTCGGATTTCCACTAACCTTTGTTTGGAAAAAGCTCTTTCTAATTTTACTCTGTAACCAGCTAGATCAAATGATAAGACCCCTGCTAAGAATTATTCCATTCGAAAAAGTAGATTAGGTAAAGAAAAACTAACAAAATTAATATTAGACAGCTACTTTCAGATAAGTCCATGTTTGGAAAGTGGTAGCCTTTTAAAAGTACAATAGCAAGACTTCAGGGCTAGCATGTTCCTCTAAGTGTAAAGGACAAGGACAGCAGTTCAGCTAAATGATTGAAATATAAGCCAATTTCAGGCTAGTCTTGAGCCCCTCAACTGAGCGCACAAACTGTGAAGCACTGAATCTAGGCCTAGATAGACTAGCCAATTTCTACAGATGCAGAAGCTACAAAATCAATTCTATTTGAATGCTTATTTTCCTTTAACCACCACTCCAACACATTGAGGCACAGCATCGTTTGAAATATTGGAGGATGTGGAACATCTAATGTTGCTTCATAAACTCCTGATATAAGTGTATTGATTTGATTTTTAAGTTGATCAAAATGACCAGAATTGCTTTCCTCCTTTCCCTGGTAAGTAAGATTTCACAGCCAAGGTCATAAGCTTCAAGTATTGGTTTGCTCCAGTCTTTTATGTTGACCATTTCTGCAGCATGCTCATTGACATAGATTTATTTAAAAGCAAATCTATTCACAATGTAAACATTTTTTCTCAGCTGAAGATATTGATAACTCTCTCTGTATTGGTCAATTTTTGCATTTAACTGCTAGCATTTGCGTCTCCTCCAGCTCACCCATTTGAGGGGGAAAGAAATCAGGCAACTTTAAAAGTACATGTGGGGAAGAACAGGCAGGATTAGGTTAATGAACACGATGGGACTGGCAGTCTGAAGTGTGTTTATTTTAATATAAGGTGTATGATAAATAAGGCAGATGGAGCTTAGAGGCTGGATTAGTACATGAAACTACAATGTTTTAGCCATTACAAAAAACATAGTTGAGAGAAGGACAGGACTGGCAGCTCAACGTTCCAATATTTAGATGTTTAGATGTTTCAGGCATGATAGAAATAAAGTGGGGGAGTTGTGTTACTGCTTAAGGAGAATGTCACTGCTGCATTAAGAGAGGACACCTTGGAGGGCTCATCCAGCAAGACCATATGGGTAGAACTCCGGAATAAGAGAGGTGCAATCAACTATGATGTGGTTATACTATAGGCCTCCCAATAGCCAGCAGGAGACAGGAATAGATATGTTTGCAAATTATGTAAAGATGTAAAAATAGCAGGGTTGTTGTGGTGAGTGATTTTAACTTCCCCAATATTGATTGGGACTCCCCTAGAGACAGGGACTTAAATGGGACAAAACTTATTAGATGCATTCAGGAGGGCTACTTGAAACAATGTGTAGATGGTCCAACCAGGGAAGGAGCCAAAATAGACCTTGTACTGGGGAATGATCCTGGCCAGGTAAAATAGAAATTTCAGTGGGGAAGCATTCTGGGAGCAGTGATCATAAATCTGTGTGTTTTAAAATAGTTACTGATAAGAAGAAGACCAGTCCTCCTCCGGTGAAAGTGCAAAACTGGGGGAAAGCTATCAACAGCAGTATTAGGCAGGAACTGGAGAAATTAGATCAAGAGTAAATCCACATCTGAACTGGGAGTTTTTTAACAGCAGGTTGATCAGAGTTCAGGATCAGCCTGTTACTGTGAGGATGAAAGACAAGGATGGCAACGTTTGGGAACCCTGGATGACGAGATATTGAAAGTTTAGCCAAAAAGAAAAAGGAAGCATACGTAAAGTTTAAGAAACTGAAATCGGACAAGGACCTTGAGGAATATGAAGGAACCAAAAAAGAATTTAAACAAGGAATTAGGGTGGCTAGAAGGGACTTTGGCAAGTAGGATTAATCATTATCCTGATGTGTCCTCTGCGTATGTTAGGAACAAGAGGACAGATAGGGAAAGGGTAGGTCCACTCAAGGACAAAGGAGGAAATTTATGTGTGGAGCAAGAGGAATTGGGTGAGGTCTTTCAGAAGATTAAGTCACATGGGATCCACGGTAAGTTGGATACAAAATTGGCTTGGTCATAGAATACAAAGGGTAGTTGTGGAGGGGTATTTTTCTGACTGGAGATCTGTGACCAGTGGTGTTCTGCAAGAATCAGTACTGGGACCTCTTGTTTGTCATATGGATGAAAATGCAGGTGGTCTTGTCAGTTATATTGCAGATGATGTGAAAATTGGTGGGGTTGTGGATAGTGAGGAAGGTTGTTCAAAGGATATTGATCATTTGTAAAGTTGGGCAGAGAAAGGGCAGTTGGAGTTTATTCTGGACAAGTGGGAGGTCAAATGCAAGAGAAAATTATACAGTAAATGCAGAACTCTTAGGAGCAATAATAATGAGAAGGATCTCTGGTTACAAGCCCATAGCTCCCTGAACGTGGCAACATAAATGGATAAGGTGATAAGGAAGGCATATGGCATGCTTGCCTTCATTGGTTGGGGCAGTGAGTATAAAAATTGGCAAGTCATGTTGCAACAGTATAAAACTTTAGGCCATATTTGGAGTATCATATGCTGTTCTGGTCGTTGCACCATAGGAAGGATGTGGAAGGTTTGAGAAGGTGCAACAGAGGTTCATCAGGATGTTGCCAGGATTAGAGTGTATTCGCTATAAGCGGAAGTTGGACAAGCTTGGATTGTTTTTTCAAGGGTGGAGGCTGAGGGGTGACCTGATAGAAGTATATAAAATTGTATTGCATGGATATGTTTGATGAGTCGAGATCTTTTTCCCATGGTGAAAATATCATATAGGGGCTTAAATTTAAGGTGAGAGGGGGAAAGTATAAAGGAAATGTGTGAAGCAACTTCTTTTACAGTGGGTGGTAGGTGTCTGGACTGCACAGGCAGGGGACGTGGTAGAAGCCGATACGATAGCAACATTTAAGAGGCATTTGGACACACACGTGAATAATCAGGGAATAGAGGGATATGGACCATGTGTAGGCAGATGGAATTAGTTTAGAATGGCATCGCCAGTGCAGGCATGATGAGTTGATGGGCCTGTTCTTAAAGTGAGTGGAGGTAGATATAGTGGAGACGTCAGAGGTAGGTCCTTTACTCAGTGTTAGGGGCGTGGAATGCATTGCCGGAGAGGGTAGTGGAGTCAGCCTCATTAGGGGCATTTAAGCAGCTATTAGATAAGCATATGGATGATAGTATAAGGTAGAGGTGGAGCTTAGATAGACCTTTAGGATTAGGGTAAAAGTTCGGCACAATATCGTGGGCCGAAGAACAGTACAGCACAGTACAGGCCCTGTTTCTGTACTGTATTATATATTCTGTGCTCCTGTCTTTCTGGTCCCACAGTATGGCTTATTGCTGGAATTAAAGAAATGTATTTGCAGTTTGTTGGCGGCTATAGGAAATACTGAAGAACGCCCAAGTGGATTAGTTTGGCATCTGATCCATTGATTAACCAATTTCAATATGGGAAGCTCAATCAGATGTCTACTTGCCTCCTTTACATATGAAAGAGGTGGCAGGCACTCAATGCCGATATTTTGCCAAATCCTGCAGCTTAGTTTAAATGGATAGAAACAAACTAGAGGAGCAGAAGTAGGTCAGACTATTCTTTGATCCTGTTGTGCAATTTAATAACATCAAGGCTGGCCTAATTGTAATCTTTTTTAAATCCACTTTCAACTCTCATCTGATGAGGTTTCAATTCCTTGCTTAATAATCTATCCAACTTGGCCTTTAAAAATATTCAAGAATTCAAAGATTGGTAGGATTTGACAGGAGTTATTTTTGCCCTCATTGTCTGCTCGTTGAAGCAGGAGTAATGAGGATTAATTTCCACACCAGGAGAGTTTAAGTGTCAGATTGATGATATCCTTATAGTCTAAAGTTTAGGCACAGAGTGCTTGATCTACAAAAGTCTGATTTAAATCACTTGGGTATTTTCTGAATGATTTGCATGAGTCTGATTTTGGATTGAGCAATGAATGTGCAAAACAATTCTTTGAGAGTTTAGATAGATGTGATTTACACCATTCATTAATCCATGTAGCAATGAACCATGAACCTTAAGGTCACATTTTAGAACCAAATACTTGAAATTTTCTGGTGGGTCACGAGTTAACTGAAAAATAACCCTTGAATTTTGGTTCATCTGTTGGCTAAAGAAGTCATTTGTGTATGTTTTCCTATTTAGTGGCATTGTATAAATAAACATCAGCTTAATTTATCTGCCTCTTTTACTTTTACTTTCACCTCTGGTTCAAAGAGAGTGTGACTTTGTTCTCAGCAGACATTTCAGTGCAATACAGATCGTGTGCTTTGTTGAAAGAAAGGTCTTTTAGGAGACATATTAAAGTAAAACATATGCCCCTTTTCTGGTAGTTGAGTTGAATTATAGCTTAGCAC